AACAGATGACAAACATAAAAAGGTGCTCAACTTCATTAATCATCATGAAAATAAAAATTAAAGTCACAATGAGACACCATTACACACTGAACAGAGTGGCTCACATGGAAAAGGCTGACCTCCGTGGTGCTGGTGAAGGGGTGGCCGACTGGAGCTCCTCACACTGGTGGTGGGGCGTAAATTGGTACAACCACTTTTGAAAACTGGTGGTCTTGACTAAAGCCGAGTGTGTGCCTGCCCTCCCACCCTGCAGTTCCTTTCCTGGGTGTCTGCCCCAAAGAAACGTGTACCAATGGTCTCAAAAAGACTGTCCGCAACAGCAGTATTCATATAGCCCAACCCTGAGAACAAGCCAAATGCCCACCCACAGAGGAGCAGGTACGTTATGGTTTGTTCACAAGATGGACTACGCTGCGGCAACATGAATGAACGAGCCACTGCACACACTTAGATGGGGAATCTCACAGACACAGTGTCGGATGAAAGAAGAGGACACGACAGGATGTATATCATATAATTCCTTTTATATGAAGTTAAAAAAAGAGGCAAGATCCCTCTCTGGTGTAGAAGTCAAGATAGTGGTTGTCTAGGTTGGGGGTTAGTGATGGGAAGTGGCAGGAAGGGACCTCTGGAGGCGGCAATGTCCTCTTCTTGATCTGGGGGTTGATCACACGGGTATGCTCGATTTGTGAAAAGTCACGGAGTTGGACACGTAGTATGACAGTTTTTTATGCATATTATACTGTACTTTAATAAAATGCCTCCTTAGAAAAGCTGATGTGCCCAACAGAAGCCTCCATGGGAACCTCTGAAGGGGGCTGGGGTCCAGCTGAGGGTGCCCCCTCTGGATTTGCATTGATCCACTGGGAAGCCCACCCCAAAAGGGAACAGAGGCCACACCGTTTTGGCAAGGTGGCGACGGTGGTAGAATGTCACGGAGCATGAAGCTCCTGAAGGATCCCAGAGGGCGCCATGTTTCCAAACCCTCACTCTTCAGAAGAGGAAACATAACCCAATGGGGAGGCCACTTGTCCACGAGGCCCCTGCCTGGTGCTCGCCCCTGGAGCCCATCACCACACATCTGATGGCTCTGCCTGGGAACAGTGACGGGTGTTCTGCCTCTTCTGGTGGACTTTGAAGTCTCCATCATTCCTTGTCGAGTGGTCCTATGCATGGTCTGTGGTCCAGCTGATGTGGCACCTGTCGGTGCTACTTCAGCGCATGCACTGCAGGTGGAAGGGCTGGTCCCCGCCTGCCGAGGGTCTGGGGCCCGGGCGCGCTTCCCCAGAGCCGGCGATGTCTCCGAGGAAAAGGCACCTGGAGCCCTGAGGAGGGAGTGGGCTCCTTAAGGACAGCTGTGGGCAAGAAGGAGTGAGTGGGGAGCAAAGTGTGGGGGCCCTTCCACCTTGGAGACCGGATAGGGAGGGACTCAACCTCCAAGCAGAGTCCTGGTTCCATCCCCAGGGGACATCCTATTCAGGTAGGTCTGGGGCCCCAGGACTCTGCATTTTCTCAAATGCCCCAGGCGACTCCTGGGCACAGGGGCTTTATCCACAATCACAATCGCCTGCTTCCTTGACCTCCTCATCGCTCTGTATCTTACTCCTCCTTGAAGCCCCTCGTGTTTGTGGCCAGGACACTCTGGATGGAGGTGAGGCCAGGGACCCAGAGGACCCAGCTCCTGTGGCTGAAAGGTGGGAACTGTGGCTGTGTGCCCTGTCCGCCCTTAGCCCACGCTGTCTGAGGGTACCCAGGAGTCTTTGCTGCATGCAATTCTGGAGCCCCCAAGGAGCAGCCCCGTCCCCTACCTCCTCCACCGAGAGCGTCGGTCTACCCGCAGCCTTGTGAATTCTCTCCCTGCCGCCTGTTTCTCGGTTCTATATTTACCAGCGGAAAAGGCAGGGGCTCCTCTCCGAAGACCAGCTTCGCCCTTTATTCAGCTCTCTGGCTGCTGAGGCTTTGAGTGAAGCGCGATTAGAACCTCTTACAGCTGACCTTCTGGGGCTGGTCCCGTTATTGTCTGACTGCCGATTCACCCTGACACACAGCACAGGTGGGCAACACGACTGACTCTCCAGCGCCGGAGAGGAGGGGCCCGTGGACAGTCCCTGACTGTGCTGAGCGAAGGAAAGAGAAGGAGGAGCGGGTGCCCAGGCAGGGGCTGGGGGCCGACATGGGCCAAGGAGAGAGCAGCTGGAATGCAGGACCTGAGAGATGCTCTTAGAGGTTCCAAAGAGCGATCTTGGGAGGCGATCTGGCGTGGGTCCTGTGCTCCCCGGGGGCAGCCAGCTGAGATTTATTTCAAAAGTTTATGAAAGGCAGCTTGCGAAAAAATGGCAGATATTCCCAAATGGTGTTTCCTGGAATGGCCAATGACAGGCCACAGGAGACTCACGCGGTGGGGTGGCAGGTGTGGCAGCCTGACTGTGGTGATGAGCAAATGGGGAGTGAGCACGTGGAGGGGGTTCTGGAGAAGTGTGTCCAAAGAGGAAGGCAAGAGGGGGCAGCTCGCTGGCCACGCGGGGGTCCCATGGTGAGGGCAGGCGGGCGATGGGTATAGGCTCAGAGGTCTGGCTGGGCTGCGTTCAGTGTCAGCTCCATGTCCATTGGCTGTGTGACCTGAGGCACAGCTTTGTGTGTGTGTGTGTGTGTTTTAGGTCAGATTCACATAACACGAAACTAACCATTTTAAAGTGAACGATTCAGTGGCATTTAGTGCATTCACCATGCTGTGCAACTGTCGCCTCTGTCTAGTTCCAAACGTTTTCATGACCCCAAAACAAAACTCTGTACTCATTAGCAGTCGCTCCCAACCCCTCCCAGTCCCTGGCAATCACTAATCTACTTTTGTAAGTGTAGATTTCCCTATTCTGGATGTTTCATATGAATGGCATCATCTAGTATGTGGTCTTTTGTGGTGAGCTTCTTCCCCTTGTCATCATGTTTTCAAGGTTCATCCGTGTTGTGGCGTGTGTCAGGGCCCCACTCCTTTTTGAGGGCCGAGTAATATTCCATTGTACAGATAGGCCACAGTTTTCTTATCCGTTCATTGGCTCGTGGACATTTGGGTTGTTTCCACCTTTGGGCTATTGTGAATCGTGCTGCTGTGAACATGTGTGTCCAGGTACTTTTTTGAGTATCTGTTTTCAATTCCTTTGGGCATACACTTAGGAGTGGAACCCTGGGATATATGGCAATTTTCTGACTGAGTTTTGAGGCACCATGGACCAGTTTTCCCACAGTGGCTGAGACATTTTACATTTCCACCAGAAATGTGTGAGGGTTCCTATTTCTCCACATCCTCACCAGCACTTGTTGTTTTCTTTCTTTCTAAATTTTTAAATTACAGCCATCCTAGTGGGTGTGAAGTGGCATCTCATTGTGGTTTTGATTTGCATTTCCCTGATGATTAATGATGTTGATTTGCATATCTTCTCTGGAGAAATGTCTATTCAAATTCTTCGCCCATTTTTGGGGTCAGGTTCTGAGGCCGAGTTTTGAGCCTCTTTAAGCCTTATTTTCCTCATCTGTAGAATGGGGAACATAACAGTGCCTCCCCTTTGGAAGGGGTCCACTGCCCTAGCTTGCCCGAGGCCATCCCGGTTTTAGCAGTCCCGGGAAGCCCCTCGGTCTGGACAAACTGGAGTCACTGGTCACCCTGCGTGGGGTCGTCGAGGGGATGGACTGAGACCGGGCACGGAAAGCTCAGCAGAGTCCCTGCTCAGTGAACGTCAGCTGTTAGTGATTTTAATCGTGTTTGATACTCGCTCACGGTAGAGAAGTCTGAAAAGCAAAATCCAAAGGCAGAAATAAAAGTCACCTGAAGCCTACCACGTGGTGTGGTGTGTTTTTGAAGCTTTAAAATGTTTTTTAGATGATAGAGCTTTGTGCCTGTTAATACACGGAGGGGAAGGAGGCAGTTCTAATTGTCGTGATTTAGTTAGGAGGATTTATTGAGCATCGCGATGCCTAGCTGCAGAAGGGAGGAGTTGAAGGCTCAGGATCAGAAGGAGAAAGTTGCTGTGCGGGGACCCTTGCAGGGCAGGGAGTGGAACGCATGGGCAGGGAGAAGGAACCGGCGGTAGGCTTCCGGTGGAGGAGGCGGCGCTCGGTCCTGCTTCTCCTCGTGGCATCTCAGTTTCCAGAAAACATTAGATGTGGCCTCAGCCCATGGCTCTGAGGCACGAGCCACATCAGGAGCCTCCTGGGAACCCTTTCCGCCTCTCCTCTGGGGGGTTAGGAGGCAGGGCCTCCCATCTGAGAGTCCCAGCCAGGCTCTTGAGCCCTTCTGCTCAGTCGTACACTCAACACAAGCTGAGCGCCTCTGTGGGTCAGAGCCTGTGCTGAAATGTGTGGGGGCAGGGATGAAGCACCTCGGGACCCCCTGGAGAAGCTGCAGAGCAAATGGAGCCTGGGCACCTGGGAGACTGTGCTGGGTCATGCTCTCAGTTCTGGGGAGCCCCTAACGCCCCGGGAAGCACACTGGGATGTGGTGGTTCCTGGTGGGAGAGGCCACATCTGGAATGTGGAGCAGGTGCACAGCAAGCAATGATGGGCCCTGGATCCCTGTCACAGCCCGCTGGGGCCCTCCTAGCCTTTTCTGACCTGGAGGATGTGATAGGCACACCTGGTTTGCCTGACCAGGAATCAAGACAGCCCATGGGAAGTGGAGAAAGAGCCTCGGGATTTGAACTCCCAGGATGCAGGGTCCAGGCCTGTCTGGTGTCCTCGGCCCATGGTGGGTCATGTGCAAAGATGAGAGGCAGAGGGACGCGAGGTGACAGCGGCCTGGCTCTGGATATCGGCTCTGCCACTTACCGGCTATGTGACCTTGAGCAAATCATGTTTTTTTCTAGCGACAAGATTGCACTGGATCCTCTTAAAGTGCCAAGTTCAGGAGGACCCTCAGGCAGACTGTGTCCTCCAAGACCCCTGGGTGAGTCAGCTCCCACGCAAAGCTACCTCTGCCCCAGACACCGGCCAGCGAGCTGCGGAGGCAGCCGCTGCCGAATGAATGTGTGTTCTGTCAGCACGTGTTGCTGGGCCTGGAACTCGCTGCCAGGTTAGACTTTCCCTGTGCCGTTCCAGACTGCGGGGCCTTGACCAAGGAGTCAAAGTCGTAGGGAGGCTGGTTTGAGAGACTCCGTAACCATTCAAGTGATGTAGAATGGAACGGGCTCCCTTGTGAGCTAGCGAGCAACCTGTCTCTGGGGATGTTCGGAAAGAGAAGAGAGATAGAAGATGTGGCAGACAGACTCTAAGCTGATTCCCATGATCCCGCCAGCTGGTGTTCAGGACCTTAGTGTGGGCAGGACCGGTGACTTGCTTCTAACCAATGGAACAGAGCAAAGACGATGAGATGTCACTTCTGTGGTTACATTACATAAACTTGTGACACCTATCTTACAGAGGGACTCTCCCTCTCGCTAGCTTTGAGGGACCAAGTGGCCATGTTGGGGTGGCCCACATAGCCAGGAGATGAAGGCAACCTCTGGCCAATGACCTGCGAGAAACTGAGGCCCTCAGTCCAATAGGCCACAAACAACTGGATTCTGCCAACACCTCTGGGAGTTTGGAAGTGGACCCTTCCCCAGTTGAGCCTCAGATGAGACCGCAGCCCTGACCTCAAGTGCAGCTTTCAGATGAGCGTGAAGCAGAGGACCCGGCTAAGCCATGCTGGACTCTGGAACAACAGAGATGTGAAATAATAAATGGGTGTTGTTTTAACCCATTAAGTTGTGGTGATATTGTTATGCAGCAATAGATGACCAATACAGGATGTTGTAAAGGAATTGTGTGTGTCACCCTGAAGGCCAGACTGGCTTTCCTGTAAGACCTCTTCCCACCTGGAGATTCTAGTGCGTGCCTTACTCATCCTTATATACTGCATTATGCCTAGTTCAGTTTCTTGTGCAAAATAGGGACCCAACGCATCTTGAAGTGGTATGCTGCCTTAGCATTGGTTTATGCATCAGAGAAATGGGAGGCCTGGCCCGTGAGGAGGACGTGCTGGGGCAGAACAGGGTCAGAAGCTGGAAGCCTGGATGCTGCACTCTTTCCAGCTGCTCCCTCCCAGTGTGACCTCGAGTGAGACTGTCTGGGCTTCGTGCACCTTATAGGAACTCCCCACTCACAGGTTTGTGCAGGTCAAATGAGCTAACATGGCAGCCTGTTAAGAGGCCCACAGAGGTAAGGAATTATGATTATTTGTTATGAAATGTCACAGACATTCCTGTTGGGTGACTCACGAGGCTCGGGGACTTGGAGAGTTTCCTTCCAAATAAGGCTCGGATGGAACTTCTCGTCAGCCTGGAGCCTCTGGGAGCCGGTCTAAGGGCTTTCCTGACCCTACCTGTCCCTCCTCCACTCTTGTTAGAGAAACCCACCCGGAGACCTGCGATTCCCGAGCCCGAGTCTCTGTTGAAACCGGTGGACGGTCTCCCTGACGTTTGATGAGATCTGCCCTCAGCACGGGCAGGTGGCAGGGCATCGTGAGCCTGGCTGCATGAATACAGGAGGTGACCTCGGGCTGGCTCCGGGGTAAGGAGAGAGGGAGGAAGGTGGGAGGACAGTCACCGGGAGACACCAACCAATGTTCTTGCCAGGATTTTGGAGGGCTGCACCTTCTTACATTTATTCACTACCCTTTGTAGCAAACCATCATTAGTATCAAAACTTCCATTTCACTTCTGGGGCAAATCTGCTTAAAAGTTGCCAGCGCTCTCTTCTGTTCCTGAGTTGAAATCCTTAGAGTTTTCAGGGCCTTTGGGCAGTGTCAGAAGACACCCCCCCCCCCCCAGGGGTCCAGGGCGCGTGAGGGATAGGGGTGCTCTGCTGGCCTGTCCTGGGTGAGTGAGAGAGAAGTGTGACCCATCGGCCATCGCGGCCTGTGGGCCTCGCTGCAGATTCAGGCTGACTGGACAGGAGAGCATGTTGTCATTGAGCAGGGCGTGTGCTGCTCGAGATGGGAGCACGGGTACACGTTGTGATCCACTCCGACCCCTCATTTCGCAGGAAAAAGGTTGAGACAGGCTCTGGAACTGGGTTTGTCCGGCTATGGCGCTCCTGGCCCTGTGACCTTCAGCAAGCTACTTCACCCCTCCTTGGCTCTGTTTCCTTCTGGGCTCGGCATGTAAGCGCCACATGAACACACACATTTATACACATATGCATGATACACATGAAACGTATAGACTAGCTATAATGCACATATTATAAATATATGCACAAATATGTATATGTAATATGAATATATATTTACATATGTGTTAGCTATGATTTTCTGTTGATTTCATTAAACTTTTCACAGGTTATGACCTTTTTATTTAGCTATTTTTAGTGCATCGAGTATCTACTATGTGCCAGGCACTGTTTCAGGAGGTGGAGACACAGCAACGAGCAACGGAGACCCAGTCCTTGTGCCGGTGGTGCCGACGTTCCAGTGTGGGAAGCAGATAACGAGGAAGGAGGCAGACACCTGTTTTGTCGCATGGTGAGGAGTGCCACCGAGCAAAGTCAAGCAGAGGGAGAGACTAGAGAACAGCGGGACTTGTTCTTTGAGACGAGCCATGGGCCGAGGCTGGCTCCCTGTAGCCCGTGGTCATAAATAAAGTTTTATCGGAACACAGCCACGCTCTGTCCCCGACGTGCTGCGACTGCTTGCGAGCTGAATAGTAGCAGCAGAGACTGTGGCTCACAAAGCCAAAACTACCTGCCATCTGGCCCTTTATAGAGAACGTTTGCTGACCCCCGTGTAGACGATGCGGTCGGGGAAGACCCCCGGAGAAGGGGAGGAGGCACACTGAGCATCGTCTGTGGGAAGGTGGTGGGAGGCCCGGGGAAGAGTAGGTGCCACGGCCCCACAGGGACGTGCCAGGCGTGGCCGAGGACAGGAAGGCCAGCAGGAGTCGGGGACGGGGGCTGTGAGGGTTTGGGCTCTTACTCTGATAGGGATGGAACCGAGGAGAGGCTGCTGTGTGACACTACATGGCATGCGTGTGCATGCGTGCGTGTGCATGTGTGCGTATGTGTGTGTGCATGGGTGCGTGTGTGTGCACGTGTGTGCATGTGTTGCGTGTGTGGGTGTGTGTGTGCGCGCGCGTCGGGGTGGGGGCAAGGGGCAAGCACAGGGAGGCGGCTGCGTTAGTCTACGGTGATCTAACGTCTGGACCACAGTGACAGGTTGGAGAAGACAGGAAGTGGCGGATTCCGGATAAATGCAGAAGGCCAGAGCACGAGGATTTGCTGATGAGAGAGAATCTCTGTTTGGAATCTTGGAGAGTTTGTTGATCAGATGAATGAATGCGGTGACTTTCCAGAGGGCCCGAGCTGATCGGTGCCGCAGCAGGGCCTAGAAGTTGCCTCCTGGCTCCCAGGACCCGCCCTGCCCCAAGGCTGGTGTTCTAGAGGCTCCGGGATGAGAGTCTGCCCAGGGTTGCCGACCTGTGGACACGCCAGGAGTCCTAGGCTCCCAGGACACCCAGTAGCCGGATGTAACCGGGTCCACATCTCTTGCCTCCCGCTGTCCAGGCCGAGATTTCCTCTTGACCAGCCATTGCCACAGAGTCCACTGGAGGGGAGAGAAAGTTGCTTTTTCTTCCTCCGTCCAAATTCACCAGACTCTCACCTCATTATGCTTCTCTTGGCCCTGAGACCAGACTCGCAGGGAGAAAGTTGAGCTGCGTCCGGAGGAGCTCTCAGGAAGGCTTTCATCACCTTTAATGATTGAACGCAGCCGCCTGCTAACAGGTGAGCTCGCTCCTGTGTTTACACTAATTAGGTAGCACCCGGGGGGCTCTGGCGGTGCCAGGCGAGGTGTTGCCAAGGAGAATGACTCATAGTACAGCAGAGGCAGCCCGAATTGAGGCCCTCGCCCTCTGTGCGGTCATGCGGGGCTGCAGGCTCCGACAGGCAGGCGTGGATGAGGGTCCTTTGGAGAGGGCGCCGAGCCCTCTGGGGCTTGCCTCAGAGTCCCCGTGCTGCCGGGGAGCCCCCTCTGCTCTGCACTCTGGTGGCCTCTGCGGAGCCCTCGGGGGCCGCGGGAGAGGAGAGGACAGGTCCCTCCGCCGTGTGCTCACCCCAGCTTCCTCGCTCACGCTCACGCCTGGGACGCGGTCAGCCTTCCAGGCAGGGAGCTGCCCGAGCTCAGGGCGGGGTGCCGGTGGCCCGTGCCGACGCCATGCCCTGCTTCTGGGACCTCCCACAGCAGAGCTCAGTGAGTGTCCGCAGACGTTTGCATGGACACCTGTCACCTTGCCAGGGGCGGTGGCTCCTGGAGACACCTCAGCCCCATCATTTCCACCTGTCAGCTGGGGGGAAGACCTGTGTGTCAGATTCCGGCCTCTCTCTCTGCCTGTGGCCGGCTGTGCCTGCTTTGAGGGTGGGCAGCTGGGAGAGTCACCCTCTGATTCAGCATCCAGAGAAATAAGGAGGTTAAACTGTGGCCTCCTGTGGAGACGAGGCTGACCCCCTTCTTTGGCAAAGGCTGTAGGGATCCTTCACTCTTTGTTGCTGTTTAGAAACAGCTTTATTGAGACATAAGGCACACATGTGTCGTGGGCTGAGTTCCGTGCCCGAATCCGTATGCTGAAGCCCTAACCCTAAGTGCCTGGGAACGCACTGCATTTGGGGGGAGGACCTTTAAAGAGGTGAGGAGGTGAAAATGCGGCCATGAGGGTGGCCCTCGCGCAACGCGACTGGTGTCTTTACTGAGAAGAGGAAATTCGGGCACACAGAGAGACAACAGGGCTGCGTGTGCGCAGACGGAGGACACGGCGAGGAGGCGGCAGCTGTGAGCCGAGGAGAGAGGCCTGGCGAGAGACCGGCCTGCCCGCACCTGCATCTCGGCTGCAGCCTCCAGAGCGGTGTTTCATCCACCCAGGCTGAGGCATTTGGTTACGATAGCCCAGCAAACTAGTGAACCGTGCCACTCGCCCCTTGACATTTCACAGTTCAGTGGATTGTGGCTGATTCACAGATTTCTGCAATCATCAGCACAGTCAACTTTAGAGCATTTTCATTTCCCCAAAAAGAAGCCTTGTACCCTTTAGCTGTCACTGCTCTATCCCTCATCCCTGTCCCCTCCTTAGTCCATGGTAACCACTAATCTACTTTCTGTCTCTGTGGATTTGCCTGTTCTGGACATTTCATATAAATGGGTTCATACGCTATGTGGCCTTTTGTGTCTGGCTCTTCACTGAGCCTAATGTTTTCAAGGTTCATCTAGGTCGTAGCGTGCATCAGTGCTTCCTTATTTTCCTTGACTGAGTAATATTCCAGTGTATGGGTAGACTACATTGTGTTTATCCATTCGTTGGTTGATGGACATTGTGCTGTTTCCACCTTTGGCCTATTGTGAATAACGCTGCTATAAACATCTGTGGACTAGTTTTTGTTTGACAATAATATTTTCATTTCCCTTGGGAGTAGAATTGTTGGTCAAATAGTAATTCTATGTTTAATCGTTTGAGGAAGTGGCAGACTGCAGTTTTCCAAAGCAGCTGCACCATTTTACGTTCACAGCCGTGTATGAGGGTTTCAATCCACATTCTCATCCACACTGGGCCCTTCACTTTATTTCCGCCATGATCCGAACATTTTTGTCAAACAAGTCTCGAGCGCTGTCTTAACACTGAGGCCAGAGATCTCCCTGTGACACCCACTTTTTGGCGTAACTAGGACCAGGAGCCTTCCTGTCTCCTGCGTGGTCCTGCTGGGAGCACCCAGCGTCTCCAAGTAATGACGTTGATCATGAGGGAGTGTCCAGCACACCGCCCGACACACACATGCCACAGGCCTGGCCCTCAAGGAGACACCATCCCATAAGCCACGTACACAGTAAGTGCCAGGAGTCATTTCAGGGGAAAGGTGGTCTTAGCCACAGCAGCAGCGGGGGCCTAAGTGTCACTCAGCAACTGCAGAGATGGGGTGGGGGGTAGTCTTGGCCCAGTTCTTAAAGGCAGAGCCCTGGGGCACTTCTGAGTCAGCCACAAAGTAAAATGGGCAGGACCAGAGAGGGCTTGGGGGACCGCGGCCTGAGGAGGGATACCGGGACAGACACTCCTTTCCAGGGCAGACGCCCTTATGTGTCCCACCCTCCAAATCACGCCCACAGAGTTTGAACTTCCACGGCTTAGAGACCCACGCTTGTTCAAGGACAGTTTTGATAAAAGCTGAGCTCATGACTCTGTGCAAACGCAAAATGAAGACGTGTCAAAGATTTTATCTAGCTCGTCAATGAATGAAGATGTCAGGACGGTGTTACAACTGGTTCCAGGAGCCTCACGTCCATGGCAGGCAGGAATGCGGGAGCGCGTTTCCAAACTCGCAGAACTGGCCACGATCCAAGGGGCAGAGTCGAGAGCGTTCCGCCGGACATGTCGCTTGCGTTTCTGCGGACAAGAATCATTATGCTTTATTGGGGGTTTTCTACAACTTGCAGAGCGGCAGAATAGCTCAAAAACTATGCAAGGCGAAAATAACCCCAAAAGATGTGCCAGACAGCACGTCCGTGAATCTTTTCTGCCCATTTCGAAGTCTTTCATGGTTTTCCCTGACGTGCGCCTGGCCAGTTAACGGGAGAGCCCTCCAGCTAAGGGAAATGCAAGGAAGAAATGGGGCCCTGGAGGCCTGTGGCCCCTGGGAGGAAGGGCTGGGGCGTGTGGGGCTCAGGGCGGCATTGGGGAATGGAGTTGCCCTGGACGGCAGGAGGATGGGAGGGGCTGGCAGGAGAAGCGCGGCACCAGGACCACCTTCCTGTACTCCTTCTCTTTTCCTTAAAGAGGCGGAGAGCAGCTGCTACTTAATCCTCATCTCGTCTTCTCTGGCCCTGCAAGCCTTCTCCCGCCTGGTCCCTGTGCAGTGGGGAACACGCCTGGGGAGAGCTCAGCTGGCCAGGGGGCTTGGGGAGACTGGGACTGTGTTGAGAGAGGCCCCCCGTTCAGCAGCCAGGAGAGCTGACGCTGCGGCCGGGACCCGGCAGCTTCCGTTCTTCCAGGGGCAGGAAGCGGAGCTGGAGGAGCACCGGGCACCGGCCTCTCCTTTCCTAACGTCCCAGAGCCCGGAGCAGGAACACCTCGTGGGTCCCAGGGTAGGGAGGGCCGTAGGTCATGGCGGAAGCTTGACCATCCTGTGTCATTTTCCAAAGGGGCCCAGGAGGTTTGACGGAGAGTCCGACTGGGGCCGATGCCTCCCGAGATCAGGAGGGCGGGTCGAAGCGGGCAGGGCCGTGGCCGGGCAGCTCCCCGGTCAGCCTGGGGGTGCAGTGGGCAGCAGAAGGTCATCTGGTCTCAGAGTCCGGGGCATGCCAGCCTGGCAGGGACCCTGCATCACGGGGGGACTCGACTAAACTCCAAGTGCCGCAAAAAGAAGAAAATGCTATTTCACAGACTTCCTCGTGGAGACTTTTGTGTAGGACGCAGCTCTGATAAGCTGCTCAGCGTGGGAGTCAAGGGGGCGCTGAGACTCCCCAGAGAGCACGGTCGGTCGAGGAGCAAGGGAAGAGGGCAGGCTGCCTGCTGGGGGGGATGGGCCAGGAATCTGCCGATAGAGAGGCCGAGGCTGCTGCGGGCCGTGCCCAGCCTCCCGTCTGAATCAATGTTCCACCAATATGATCAAATATCTGATCAA